GTGTGTGTGTGTGTGTGTGTGTGTGTGCGTGTGCGTGTATGTGCGTGTGTGTGGGGTGTGTGTGTGTGTGTGGGTGGGTGTGGCTGTGGGTGTGGGTGGGTGTGGCTGTGGGTGGGTGTGGCTGTGGCTGTGGCTGTGGCTGTGGCTGTGGCTGTGGCTGTGGGTGTATGCGAATATGTGCGAATATACTGCAATTTTCTATCTCAGCTGTGATACTAACTTGTGCAAAACTGGCCTAAAATTCTATGAAATGATATCTCGTTTTGATAATGGGCTTACCTTACGCGCAAACAGTCGCTGTGTGATAGAAATGAAGCATTGCTGTTGTCGGAAGAGGTTGCTTTGTTTTTCTGTTTACGCGGCAGTGGTGGCACAAAAAAACGCTTTAATTTGATTAGACTACTAGAGCCCTCCTTAAGACCTGCATCGCTGGCGAAGGACTTCTTGCCTGTCGGTGAAACAAGAGTATCCTCTGTAGAACTATCATAGGTGTCTGTGTTCTCATAGGTTTTCGTAAATGTCTCTGATGCCACTTCTCTGAGTACAGTTTTGTGTATCTCAGAGAACGTCAGCGAGTCGGCGTCGAGCGATGTGGTCGACGTCTGTTGGCTCTTTGTCCTTTTGCTTTTGGTTTGTTGATTTTTTGAATCGTTCAACTGTAGCTTCTTCATTTCAAGTACTGGTAGGCTTGCTGGTGCCAACATATTGATCTAACTAAATGTTCAGAGGACATCAGTCACCGTGTTTCTTTAACCCGCTGTAACACTTGCTAAGGTTGTTAGTCTCGTTGCTCGCTGGTGGGCCTTGTAGCTCTGCTTACTTTATCCGGGCACACGACTATCAAACGTTTCGGGAGACGTACTGTACGTGATTTTTTTTATTGACTTTTAATGGGCACAAAAATTTCGTACTAAAACCATTTTGTATAATAATAAAAACACTTATAAAAAAGTTTTAAAAAAAATAGTCTATTATGTTCTGCCAGTGTAGTATTTATTATTTAAAGCCGTGTCCAGTTGTCCACCCTTCTTCATAAGTTCTTTTCGACGAGGGCCGATTATTGTCAACCGATCATTCGCAAAAGATCGCTTCCATTGGACGGGATATAAAGAGTACTCATGTTTTATGTACTCACTACAGAGGACACGGCTACTACTACTACTACTAAAATCTAAATAGTAGTCGAGAGGAGAAAGAGAGTAGCGCGTACTGACTACTGAGTAGCGGCTAGCCACATTTGACAAAGGCCGCTGTAATGAGTAATCAGCTGTCAGACACTCAGACTCAGCATCTGCCACCCCTCTCTCTGTGCTGGTGGGTGAGGCACTGGGGTCTGAGGAATGAGGCTGGCTGGTAAGTGGCATGCTAGTAGGCCCCCCGCTGGGCCTGGGGCCTGGGACCTGGGGCCTGGGACCTGGGGCCTGGGACCTGGGGCCTGGGACCTGGGGCCTGGGACCTGGGGCCTGGGACCTGGGGCTAGGGCCCAGGCCTGTGGGCGTGTAGCGGTGTAGACACAAAAGAACCCAATAAAAATATGAGGAAGAATGATTTATCCAGCTATTCGACGGTAGTCGAGGTAAAACAGAACTGAGAATTCGAGAATGCACAGTTCTAAAACAAGAAAACCAGTTATATATAAAATGTATTTGTCACTCTCTCCCCAATACGAGGACTCTGAAAAGGTATCCGAAAGAAATATTCTACGTATCTAACCCATTCCACAGGCTCCAGTGACTCTACATGACTTCAGTGACACCACCACAGGGCACAGGTCCACAAACCACAGCCCAGTCCCTGACCACTGACCAGTGTCCAGTGTCCACTACTTATATACTCCACCTATCCTTGATTCTAGCATATATATTTTTGTTTTTTTTTAAATAAAATAAATATCGAATACTATGTGTAAGAACTCGAAAAGGTTCTAAAAATGGAAGGCTAGTATACACCAACCTCAAACCGTTTTCCGTTCAAACTTTTATCAATCGAATAAATATACGTTTACGTTCCGTTTTGATTCCTTATGCGGTCCTTTGTATGCTCATAGGTGCATCTTACGGGTCTAAACATTTAAGTGTGTTTTATGTTCACGATACGAACCAGTCCTATAAAAAAACTTTAGGTAGGCACTTCTGATCATATCATAACCGTTATAACGTTTTTAAACTGAATAAATACGTTTACATTCAACTTCTATAACGTAATGAGCTTAGGTATACAGTGAGCACCTATTTTTATTGTTTTTTTTTAACCATACTTATAGGAGTCGGAGCTGACAAAGTAAAAGCACTTGTGTGCAAAACAATCATTAATAACTGATTGGCTATCGTTCGCCTGGAGTCCTTTCTGGTGGATACTAGGAATCCCTAAAAATGTTGTTCTTGTATTTTGTTTTTTTTTAAGACAACAAAAGAACAAAAAAGGCAACAGTCGATATTAAATTCCGGTTACAAATTTATTTTTTTAAATATTAGGGACGGAGCCCTCTCTCGAAGTCTCGACTCTCGAGAGAAGACTGCGCTCAATTTATTTAAATACGATTTCTTAGCCTTCTTGTTTAATTTTCAGAAGCCTATGACGATTTCTGTTATGTACATACGGCCAGCCTACGACATTTCTCGAGGGTTCCAATAGAGGAAAGAGGCCGAGGCCCCGAGGGCCATGGGCCGGTGCGGTGGGTGGTGCGGTGGGCCCATGTATTTATTGTACTTTTGTGACGACACTACTCGCAATCTCGCAATAGTTTTCTTGTTTACACTTTTCAGACTTCTCAAATCTCAGACTAAAAATAAAAAAATTTAAAACAAAGACTTTATGTACAGTTTTGCAGACATTCGCAAAACAGAAGAGAGCGAGGCTGCGAGAGTCATATCTCATGAGCCATGACTCCAAAAACCATAAAAACGAACTAGAGTACATACCTCGTGTCCATGTCTCACGTGTCCGCCTACGAACAGTCGAGCACATGCAACACTTCGCCACCGGCGGCCGGCCCAGAGCCTCAGAGGTGAGAGGCCCAGGCCCCAGGGCAAGAGTCCCAGACTCACCTCTGTCTCTCTCTCCCTCTGACAATTATGTAAATACTATATAATTTAGAGGGCTATGTATTTTAATAAATACAAAAATGAATTTTTAAAATCCGTCTTTTTTTTTTAATTCTTAGCTATTGGGTTTTATATTTTAACTAAATAGCCAACACCGCTACATAATACTATACAGTCTACTAGCCTCCCTCTCTCTCTAGAGTCTGTAGTAGACTCGCCAGAGTATTTTTATTATTATAAAAAGCCCGCTATGTACCGCCGCGGCAAAATAAGGAAAAAAGAGGTTTCAAAGACCAAAAGGGCTCGATTATGTACCCCATCGGCCCATCAATGACCCATTCCCCCCCCCCCCCAGTACCCACTTCCAGCTCCCCGATCGGACTAATCCTTCCTCTGAGAGTTGTGGGCCTTTCTCCACGGGCCCACAGCCCCACAAGGCCAAACCTCTCCTCTGTGTCCTCCCGTTGGAGCTTGAGCGACTTATCCTCAGTACTTATTTTTAAGTTATTAGTACTTACCCTCTCTCACACACGCTCTCTCAGTCTCACTCTCAGCTCTCCACTATCTCTCTCTCTGACTCTCTCTGTATCTAAGACTCTAACACGCTCTCTCTCTCTCGCCCGTTGGTCGCTAATCCACAGGTCCACACTCTACAAAGTCGGCACTCCCTGCACACCGCCTATACGTTATCACCAGTGACAACGCCCACGAATCTACGATGCACTGTATGTATTCACAAGTCATAGCTCACGAGTCACGAAACGACTCACAAATTACAAATCTACCGTATTACCAGCCCATCTGTTATATACTTCAAAGAGTAGAAGCACCCTCCACTTAGTCACCATCACTTTAACATATTTTTTTATTCAATT